CATAATTTAATTATTTCTGCCTGCGATTGGCCTCTGTCACGCGATTGATAAAATGATTGTTATACGTCGCAATTAAATCTCTCTTCATAATAAAATATTTGTCACGAAAGGATCTTGAATTTAATTAAGCTCCGCTCATCGCGCATATTTTACGATATAACGCTCGTTAAATTTCTACACTGTACTCTATCGGCTTTAATAAATTATAGTACATTTATATTACATATTTGTCACGCGGGAACGCTTTACAGAATATAGATCCTTTCACCTGCGACAAGCCGCAATTCGCTCTAGCGGAATTACACCTCTTTATTCGATTGGACATTTTGTAACGGAACCTCACCGCAAATTCACCGACATACATGACAATCTAATATTTATTATAATCGCGCTTCCAATTAACTCGCGGCTTGAATGCAAAACGATGTGACGTTTTATTCGCGGGAAACGTACAGTCACATCGTCGAGGACGTCGTCGACTATGTTGTCGGAGGCTACGCCCGTTGAACAGGAGAGGAAAATTCACTCGGGTAAATTAATTAATTTGCGTTAGTCGCGTGGTCGCACGAAAGTACGTCAGAGATTCACAGAACAGTTGATGGCAGTCTGCGGCCGTCGCGCAATTCCGGTTACGATCTCCGGGGAGAGATCGCGAAATAAATTAGAATTTTGCGCGTTCTCGCCATCAAATAGTAAAAATCCTCATTGTCCCATAACATTTATCGCGCGTTCATACATTTCAAAGAACTTATTGCTACTATATTGCTATGGCGGATATATCGCTAGGCGATTTTACCCTGGTCCGCGTGCGAAGTGACATTATTCGTATCGGTGATATCGCACAGCGGGACTAATCGAGTTCGCCAATGTATCCCATCGTGCGCACGATTTTCCGAACACGCGTCATCAAATATCCGCGTGAATGAGAATCAAACAGCCCCCTTCTCTCTATCACCTTTTTCTCTTGATATCGCGGAACATGGTGATTAACCTTCGCTAACTCGCCGGATATCCGACACGGGAAATGCTTTACCGTCACGCCGAGGGTATTTCGATAAATACAGACGATATTTTGCACGAAGGATAAATGAGAAATCGCAGCTGTCACATGAGACAAACGCGATTTCTACCTCCTTGCGCGCTAACTTAGTCTGTTTTATTTAATCATCGCGATGCCCTCAATTAATTTTCAATGTGTATCCAGTGAAAGGACTTACTAATTCAAAGAACGATTAAATAACAAATTACAAACATTAAATTATTTCTATTCAGTAGATTTATGTATACCGCAAAAGCGCGTATTAATTGCCATAATTTTTTAAAACCGGAGATATAATTACTTTGATAAAAATTAAAAAAAAGAAAAATACTTTTAATGTTAAGTTTATATATATATATA